GTTTGTGTCCACTCTGATGCTGCAGAGCAGACACAGCCTCTTGTTTTCTGTGGGGCGGTCAGATGGAAACGGACTGCCTGTTCATTTTCCACCCGACTATCATCTGATTCAATCCGTCACATGGATGGGGAACGGATCCCCATCTGTCTGTTTTCTAGCATACAGGATCGGATTGGATGCCAGTGGGTTTCAGCGGACACATGTCTGCTGACACCTACCAGTCCATAGAGGGCTATGCTTGCAGTTCCTTAAAAACTGACAGGCGGACCCAGAGGCGGACTGACAACTCATGGGGCCCCCGAGCAATAGGGGATTATGGGGCCCCTGTGTCCTCGCCCTCAAACCACACCCATAAAAGCCTATTAAAGGTACCAGGGGCATCTCATGGGGCCCCCTACTGACCCCAGGCCCTCGGGCAGTGCCTGAGTTCCCAAATGGTCAGTCTGCCCCTGGGTGGACCCGGTTAGACCGTCAGTGTTAAAGGGGACTAAATCAATCCTAAATTAATATAAGATTGAGTATATTGAGTTTTTTTTATTTGAAGGACTGTAGAGATCATGTCAGTTGCTCCCCTCCCTCCTAGATTGTAAGCTCGAAAGAGCAGGGCCCTCGAACCCCTCGTGTATTGTATTGTTACTGTCTTGTCTCATGTTCTGTCCCCCTTGCTACTGTACAGCGCTGAGCATACCCTTTGGCGCTATATAAATACTGTATAATAATAATAATAATATAGAAGGCAGATTCTACTTTTGTATGCTTTGTAATAAGGAGTTCTTTACAGTAAGAGGAAGTTAGTTGTGAAATGTTCTGCCACATGAACCAGTAAAGACAGTGAAATCAAAAAGGAAGTAAATGTATTTTCTTTTACATGATTAACTGTAACTGCTTTACATGATTATTATCACTAAACTTTTTATAACAAGATAAGCTATGTACACAATCATGGGAGACATTCATATTTTATATTTCCCAGAGCTTAGTAAATCTGATTAAGCATCTCTTTGTAAAGAATACCAATCAGACGCAAGGAAAATTTAAAAAACAGCATTTTTTCTTGCACATGCCTAGATAATGGAAATCAGTAGCCTTGGTCTGGATGTTCAAGTTGAACATAAGTTTCGACTCGAACATCGGGGTGTTCATGTGTTCGGTGAACACATGAACGGTAAGGATGTTCGGTGGACTGCCCGCTGAGTGCCACACAATGCACTGTGCTCTCAAAGTGCATTGAGAGCCATGATCGGCCAAAGCAATGCACCTGACCACAGGTCAGGTGCAATGCTTTGACCAATCACAGCACAATGCACTGTGAGAGCCATGATTGGCCAAAGTCCACATCCCACACTATATACGGCTGCTTACATAGCAGCCTTGTGTGGTGTGTTGGTGGAGATTAGAGTAGTTAGCAGTGTGGTGCAGTCAATGTAGTGCGGTGTTGTGAAGAGCAGTGTAGTGGTGTCAGTGATGTGTGTTTTAAAGCACTTCTGCGTCACCACTGTTCCCAATTTTTCTTTGAAATTTTTTTTTTTTTTCAATTTTTGCACCAGGTTCTGTTACTGCATCATTAGTGTTCATTAGGTGTTCCTCCTTCTGGTTCAGCAGTGGTTTCCTTTTTTTTTGGCTTTCTGAATTTTTTTTCTTTTTTGATTTAAATTTTTTTTTAAATTTACTTTAATTTTTTTTTTTTTGCTGCAGTAGCAGCAGTACTAAAAGTATTTAGGACATAACTGCTGTTCCACCTTCCACGTCACAGGTGTTCCTTCTTCTGCTTTAGCAGTGGTTCCCTTTTTTTTTTCTGAATTTTTTTTCTTTATTTTATTTTTTCATTTTGCCACAGCAACAGCAACAATATTTCCATAATTGCTGCAACCCCTATTTTCTTTATAAAAAAAACACAATAATAAAACGGTTATAGTGCACAAAGCACAAAAGTATTGCACCCAAGTGCCATCCCACAATCTAAAATAAATAGTTATTAAAATCCCCCCAAAAAATCCCCATCATGTCCCAAAGACCAACAAGGAGAGGCAGACACTCACAGACAGCTAGCTAAAAGAGGGTAAACATTCCCTGTGTCCACAGTGAGAAGTGGTGGTCGTGGACATAGTGTATCCGCTGCAGGCAGGACATGCTTGTCCTTTTTTTCTGATGCTGGCCGTGTTATTGAGCCACAACATGCAGAAGAGGTGGTAGAGTGGATAACTAAGCCATACTCATCCTCCATCACCCAAGCTCATACTAGTTTGCCTTCCACCACAGCTGCCAAAGCGACCTACAGCTCCTTGTCCACAGCTACTACTTCCGTAGCCCCACCATCATGCATGGAAGAGTCACTTGAATTATTCGATCATAGTGTCAGTTCCATGCTGCTGGAGGATGCACAGCAATTTGAATGCTCCGATGTTGGTTCCCAGGTTGAGTAAGGGAGTGATATGAGCCTAGAGAGAAGGGGTGCCAATGACAGACAAGAGATTGGCAGTCATGTTCCCCCTGCCACAGCATACTGCCAAGTTGGCTCCAGTGACAAGGAGGGAGCGGATGATGAGGTCACTGACTGTACTTGGGTGCCTGAGAGAACAGAGGAGGAAAGTGAGGAGGAGGCATAACTCCAACAAGGTAGGATGTCCTCCAGGGGCAGGCATAAGGGCAGCCACTCTATTGCATCACACAACAGAGCTCCATGGGTGCAGGGCACTGCTGACTCCCCGTTGACTTCCAAAATTTCATTGGCGTGTACATTTTTTTTAATACATATGCAGCAGACCGCAGTGTCACTGTTTGCAGTCTCTGTCTGAAGCAGATCAAGCGTGACCAAAACACCAGCCGCTTGGGCACTACATGCTTCACAAGACATATGACAACCTGGCAAAAACACCTGAAAGACCCACATCAAAAAAAGTGCAGACATCTCCTTGCTCCTCATCTGGGATCTCTATTGCTACTATACCTCGAGTTTTCTCAACAGCCTCCACTGAGAGGAATGATGGTAAAGCAATGGGTGCCACAAGTCCTTGCACACAGTCTGCTAGCAGTACATCACCTGTTGATTTCACCAGGCAAATTTTGCTACCCCAGTTGCTGAACCGTAAAAAAAAAAAAAAAACTACTGTCCCCACCATCCACATGCACAGTGTCTAAATGCTAGATTGGCAAAATTGCCAGTGTTACAACTGCTGCCTTTAAATTTGGTGGACTCTGCTCCTTTCTGTGAATTTGCGGAATGTGCTGTACAAAAGTGGCAGGTTCCGAAAAGAAATGTATTTTCACGTAAGGCAATTCCAGCTCGGTACCATCATGTGGAAGTCAATGTTTTGACCTCGTTGGACAGGGAGGTCAACAGCAAGGTCCACATTAATGCTGACACGTGGTCCAGCAGGCATGGTCAGCAACATTACATTTCCTTCACAGTGCACTGAGTAACTCTGCTGGCAGCTGGGAAGGATGCAGGACAGGGTTCAGTGCTGGAGCTTGTTCCGTCAACACACCTCCATAAAGCTGATGGTGATTCTGCTACATCTGTCTTCTCCACCCCCTCCTCTTCCTATTCCTCTATTGCCTCTTCTGCGGAATTGTCCTCTGAACCAGTAGTGCTCCCTAAGCATTCAAGGGGCTATGTAAGCAATCAGGCTAAAAGATGCCATGAGGTGCTTGAGCTGGTCTGTCTAGGGGATAGGAGCCACACCGGGGCAGAGATTCTGTCAGCTCTGCAGGGGCAAGCTCAGAGGTGGTTGACGCCAAAGCAGCTTGAATCAGGAATGGTTGTATGCGACAATGGCACCAACTTTCTCTCCACCCTCCGATAGGGACAATTGACATATGTTCCATGCTTGGCATACATCCTGAATTTGGTGGTTCAGTGTTCCTTGAACAGGTACCCAGGCTTACAAGATCTTCAGAGGCAGGTCAGAGAAGTCTGTGGCCATTTCCAGCAGTCATGCATGGCCAGTGTTTGGCTGGCTGACATTCACCAGAAATTAAACTTGCCCACCAACCTCCTCATTTGTGACATTTCACCAGGTGGAACTCCCAACAGTAGCAATGCTGCAGCAGCTGCACATGCAGTAGAGGACCATAAGACTCCATTGACCGGCTGACATTTATCAAAATAAATCAGTCCTGGATCAACAGTAGCTATAAGCCCCTGATGCTGATGTAACTGATTAAATTTGTTAGAGATCTGGGATCCCTTGAAGACTGCCTATGCTGCCTATCCTATTCCTGATTATGCTAGCTTCCCATAATGTTTTTGGTTTAGGGCATCACCAACACCCAAGGCCCAATTTTTCTGCACCTGTTTGACAAGTGCATGTAATTTCAATTTTGTACAATTGTTTTAACAGCAGGGCCCATTCCTGTGCTCACCAAGAGTAACTGTGAGGGGTTACAGTATCCAGGCACCACCAACACCCAAGGCCCATTTTTTCAACACACTGTGTGACAGGTGCATATAACCCTTTTTTTTTTGGGGGGGGGGGGGTTTAATAATAAAAAATACCATATCTTTTAAAAAAGGTCAGTCCTGCTACAGCAGGTTCTATACATTGTACAGATGTGCAACTTTGCAGGCAGTTTAAGGGAACCCTCAGGCATGCTGTTTAAACCACTAGCCTACAGGGCACTTATACCCCCTTCCTGCCCAGGCCAATTTCCAGCTTTCAGCGCTGTCACACTTTGAATGACAATTGCGCGGTCATGCAACATTGTACCCATATGAAATTTTTATCGTTTTTTTTGAGACAGATAGAGATTTCTTTTGGTGGTATTTAATCACCTCTGGATTTTTTTTTTTTTCTTAAACAAACCAAAAACCACTGAAAAATTTTGAAAAAAAAAAAAAAAAAAAAATTTCTTAGCTTTTGTTATACAATTTTGTAAATAAGTGATTTTTCTCCTTCACTGATGTGCGCTAATGAGGCTGCAGTGATGGGCACTGATAGGCTGCACTGATGGACACTAATAAGTGGCACTGATGGGCACTGATGAGGAGGCACTGGTAGGTTGCACTGATGGGCATTGACAGGCATCACTGATGGGCACTGAAAGGCAGCACTGATACATGACACTGATACATGGCACTGATATATGGCACTGATAGTTCGGATAGGTGGCACTGACTGGCACTGATAAGCGGCACTGACTGGCACTGATAGGTGGCACTGATTGGCAGCACTGATAGGTGGCACTGACTGGCACTGATGGGTGACATTGAAAGGCAGCTCAGATGGGCACTGATATGTGGCATTGATGTGCACTGGTATGCACTGATATGTGGCATTGATGTGGCACTGATGGGCACTGGCACGTGGCACTGATGGGCACTGGCACGTGGCACTGATGGGTACTGACAGGTGGCACTTCTGGGGCCACACTGATCATCAGGGCACACTGATCATCAGTGCCCTGATGATCAGTGTACACGTCCCCCCTCCGCGGAAAGCCGATTACCGGCTCTCCTCTCCTCTCGAGCTGTCAATAGAGAGAAATGCCAATAACCGGCATTTCTGTGTTTACATGTGATCAGCTGTGATTGGACACAGCTGATCACATGACCGAGCTGACATCTTCGGCTCTTTCCGTGATCCGCTGTGTCCGAGGGACCGGCGATCACCGCGCTGTGCGATCCCTGAGCCACGCATGCGCAGTGAGAATGGTAGGGACGTCATATGACGTCCTATCAGAATGAGAGAACCACCTTGCACCCGTCATTGTACTATAGGGCGGGCGGAAGGTGGTTAAAGGAATTTCTCTCTTTTTTTTTTTTTTCAACTTTAAGCAATTAAAAATAACTGCCCCTTTAAAAACGGTACTTTTGGAAAAAAGATTTTTCACTGATTCATATCCCTCAGGGCAGTACCCGAGTCCTCATACCTCTTTTATGACCAATAACTTGCATATAAGCCTTCAAAATGAGTACTTTTGAATTTACAAGTTTGAGTCCCATAGACTTGCATTGAGTTTGAAGTTCACGGTCAAACGTTCGTTCACACGGGGGTGTACCGCCAATCACTAGAAATCAGCATAGTTTTACCACATTCACTAAGCTCTGGGGAAAATGAGTGCAACTGCACTTGCCATGTGAACAGTCTATTTGCCTTTAGTAAATCAAACCCCTTGTGTCATATGATTTTTGTAGTACAAATGTATGCTAAATTGTGCCTGAGGCAGTGTGGGTTCTGTTTTATATGCAGTGCTACTATTTAACAGTACAGATCATCAATCATCAGAAAAGAAAGATCAATTTATGTTTCCTGATGTGATAATAACATGACATTGTTAAGGGTTAGGGATACGCTTATTTTAGGGTTAGCACTAGGGTTCCGCAAAAGCTAGCTCATGTTCACAGCCAACCTTCAGGAGCCCTTTAAAGCCTATTTGAACCCTAATTGTTTTTGACTTCTTACTAACTCCAATGCATCAAACCAAAATGCAAACATTTTGTCACATTGTTCAAGTTTTCGTGAAAATTTTGCCAGTGTTCAGATTTTTAAAGAAAATTTAGTGAAGTAAAGCCTTCGTTTTCACTCATCCCTAATTATTAATGCTGGCCTGGAAAATCTATATGACAATTTAAGTCTTGACTGTTAAAGCCGAACTCCAGGTATGTTTGGACCAACGTTAAAGTGGTATTAAAGTAATTATTTTCCTTCCTTTTTTCCTCCTAGGAGCTTCTTCATTTAATCATTTCCTGTTACATTCCCATTCTTTTTGTATCCCTGTGTAGCTGTGACCTATAGAGCACTGAATGTTTCTCCCACTCTGTTCTACAACTCTACATGCACCTGTTCGGAGCACCACACACTCACACAGTACACAGCACAGAAGCCATGCCTCTCCTCCTCCACAGTGGTGACTGACACTGTGTCCCTGTCATTCTGGCTGTGTACATGACACTATGTTGCTATGGCTATTTTAGTGATTTTTTATTGCATAAATATATGAAATGTTGCATACATTACCATCAGAAGCTAGGTTTTCTCGATTCATGACTAATTAACTTGTTTGGCTGGTTCATGAAGCTCATGCAACAGGAAGTGATGTTGGCAGAAAACAGGGGAGGGAACCTAGGACTTGAATACGGCCATGTGCTGAACACAAAAGAGCAGCACTAATAGTTTTGTAGGACTTCATAACAACAAGGAAGGACACTACGGTACTATGGTTATTTTAATGATTAATAATTATAGCATAAATATATGGAATGCTACATACCATACCATCAGAAGCTAGGCTTCCTCGATTCATATGCTAATGAACTCATTTGGCTGGTTCATGGAGCTCATGTAACAGGAAGTGATGTTGGCAGGAAGTGGTGAGGGAGCTGCCCCCTTTGGTCAGTATGCAGAAGGGAAGCTGCTTGCACAGGACACAGAAGATTGTAGCGATCACTGTAGTAAGCTGGCTACTACAATAACTGTCAGCTTCCTTATCAACCCCTCAGGTATGAGATATGCATACTCACACTGGACCACGCTGGACCAATGTAATTATACAATATAAATCATAACTGGAGTTAGGTTTTAGGATTATATCAGTGCAATAAGACCTCATTCAGACAGGACGTTTAAAAAAGCTGCATACAGATGCATGCAGGGCCTAGTTCTGTATACATCTGTATGCAGCGTAATGAAAAAGAACTAGGCTATTCAGACAGGTACATTGGTGGCCATTATATAGCACTGTGTTTAGCATTGTAACAAAAAATAGAGCAGAGATGCATTTGTGGCTGCACAGGTTCTGCATTTTTACCATATGTACACATGCTTAAACGCACTACAATGCACCTAAGCATGTGTACATGATTCTAAACACATTAAATACAGTTGATATAAAGTGCCTAAAACTCATTTTAATACGTCTTTCAACTGATGCATTTTTCTGCAAGCAAGAACCTGCATGCCCTTCTAAAAAAATGCACATGTCAGTGTGAATGAGGCCTAACTTGTGCTTAACCAGTTGCTTCCCACCCACAGTACATCTACAGCCGAAGATTGGATTGCATGCTCCCTGTACCTGGTTTTAAGCGGCCGAGGGACCATGTGATTGTTATGCAATCACATGATCACAATGTCAACTATGCTAATTTAATTTCATTCATAACAGCTGTAATTCCTATAGTAATGATGTGATTGGCCCACAGGTATCACATGGCACATGGGCAAATCACAGCACCCGGTACCATGTGATAGCTGTGGGCCAATCGCAGCACACAATACTAATTTTAGTTGTTATGAATGTAACCTTTTCAGGACAGTTCAAAACATGTAACATCAGCGTAACAGCAATAAAAGTGTAAAGAAAAAAAAAACAATTCCTGAACACAATGTCACCACAGTGTCTACTCTGATGAAAGTTTGTAAAAAATCTTTTAAAAAAGGTTTAAAAAATGTTCTAAAAAGTGAATAAAAAAATATTTAATTTTTGTTTTTAACATACTGTCACCAGTCAGTATCCCTTATCAATACCATGCCAGTCATTTGATGACGCTGTACTGCATTGGTACTGCATTGGTAACATCGTAAATAAAAACATTGTGAAAAAAAAAACAAAATTTTTATATAAAATTTATATAATTTCTAATTTTTCCTAAAAAATTGTGACAAAAAAAATTATAATTTCAACCTGCCGTGCTTCTTACTAAATACCTTGGACTGTCTACTTTCCAAAAAGCGTAATTTGGTTGGGGTATTTGTATTGTCCTGGCATTTTAAGGGCCTCAAGAAATGACAGGCCATCAGTACATCAGGATTGATCATTTTCAAATATACTGTATATACCATAGTTTGAGTTTGTAGGCGCTAAAACTTTCACACGAACCATTTACTATACACTTAGGTCTCATGCACACATGCGTTTTAGCAGCCATTTTTAGAGACGTCAAGCATTTTTTTTTTTACAGCTTCCAAACGCCGCTCCATATTATCCTATGTGCCCATGCACACATAGATTTTTAGAAGCTTTTAGTGGCAGGAGCTTGTAGGAGCTGTTAAAAAAACACCCACTGCTAGTGCATCCAGGAGCAGCAGCATTTTTGGCAGAAAAATGCTTGATGCATGTAAACGTGCCTAAACGTGTGTTAATGCTAGATGTGTTTAACACTTCAGTATAAATTCATTTCAATGGCCAGAATAAATATTATTCTGGCCTATGAAATGCATTAATGCCCAAGAACTTGATGCCTGTAAACACGTTAAACATTTTTCTGCCAAAATGCTGCTGCCAAGAGGAGAAGCATTTTTAAAATGTCCTGTGTGCATAAGGGTTTTTTTTTTACCAAAGACATGTAGCAGAATACATTTTGGCATAAATTTATGAAGAAATTTGATTATATTGGGTATGTTTTATAACAGAAAGTAGAAAATATCATTTTTTTCCCACAAATTGTCATTTTTTTTTGTTTATATAGCAAAAAATAAAAAAACCCAGGGGTGAACAAATATCTCCAAAAGAAAGCTCTATTTGTGTGAAAAAAATGATAAACATTGTTGGATGACTGCGTAATTGTCAGTTAACCACTTGCCCTCTAGAGAAATTACCCCCCCCCCCCCCCCCTTCCTAACCAGGCCATTTTTTGCGATACGGCACTGTGTTATTTTAACTGGAAATTGCCCGGTCATGCAACGTTGTACATAAATAAGATGTATGTTCTTTTTTTTTCCCACAGAGTTTTCTTTCAGTGGTATTTGATCACCTGTGCGTTTTTTTTTATTTTTTGCGCTGTAAACAAAAAAAAAAAAGCGGACAATTTGGAAAAAAAAAACAATATTTTTGACGTTTTGCTGTTAAACATGTCCAATAAAAAAGTGTAAAAAAATCAAATTTTGGCATCAGTTTAGGCCAAAATGTATTCTGCTACATGTCTTTGCTAAAACAAATCCCAATAAGTGTAAATTAATTGTTTTACGTGAAAGTTATAGCATCTACAAATGGCGGTATATATACTGGAATTTTTTTTTTTTACTAGTAATGGCGGTGATCAGCGACTTATTGCAGGACTGCGGAACTGCGGCGGGCATACTGACAGTGTGGGAAATTGACTAACTGCCACTGACATCCCCAGTGACACTAATACAGTGATCAGTGCTAATAAAAAGCTCTGACAGTGTACTAATGAATGACACTGGGTAGGAAAAGGTTAACATCTGGGGCGATCAAAGGGTTAACTTTGTGCTGTTTTACTATGTTTGCTGTGTGTGTTTTACTGCGCAGACAAGCTGCTTTGTATTGCCCTGCTTTGTAGAGCAATACAAAGCAGCCTGTTTGTGCTGACAGGGGAGAGATCTGTATTGTTTAAATACAGAACTTTCCTCTGTCAGCTCCGCGACAATCACCGCGTTCCGGCTGAGAATTGGTGGCCGGGATCCGGTGATTGACATGCGGAGGAGCCAATAGTGGGGGGGGGGGGGATAGGGAGCATGCGCACGCCCCCTATCCGGGAATACAAAATCACGTATATATACATAATTTTGTGCATCCATGCCGCCCTGTAGCAGTACTTCTGCTATAGGGAGGTCGGGAAGTGGTTAAAG